AATGGATCACAGATCTAAGCATAAAACACAAAACTATAAAACATTTGGAATAAAACAAAAGAGAATATCTTCACATCTTGGGAATAGAAAAAAAATTCTTCAATGCAACACCAAAAGCATAATCATGTCAATCATATATCTGACAAAAGACTTTTATACAAAATGTCCAAAGAACTCTAAGACCCTTAATAACTCATAATAAGGAAAAAATGGCCCAATTTAAAAAATGAGCTAAAGATTAGACACACCAGAGAGGATATAAGGTTGTTAAATATGTACGTAAAAAGTTGCTCAACATCATTAGCTATCAGTGAAATGAAATGCACACAGAGTACAAGAGCTAAAAATAAAAAGTTTAAAAATACCAGTAGCCAAGAAGGATGGTGAGCAACTGGAATTTGCATACACTGCTGGTAGGAATAAAAAATTGTTCAGCCACTCTGAAATGGTTTGGCAGTTCCTTATAAAGTTAAATGTACATTTATCCTATGAACCAGCAATCCCAGGTATTTAACTCCTAGGTATTTATCTTCGAGAAATGAAAACACGTTCACACAAAAGCTGTACGTGAATGTTTACAGCAGCTCTTTTCATACTTGTCAAAAAATGGAAACAACCCAGGTGTCCTTTAACAGGTACTGTGGCACATGCATTATTAGAAATATAACGGCCGGGCGCGGTGGCTCACGCCTGTAATCCCAGCACTTTGGGAGGCCGAGGTGGGTGGATCACGAGGTCAAGGGATCGAGACCAACCTGGTCAACATGGTGAAACCCCGTCTCTACTAAAAATACAAAAAATTAGCTGGGCATGGTGGCGCGTGCCTGTAATCCCAGCTACTCAGGAGGCTGAGGCAGGAGAATTGCCTGAACCCAGGAGGCGGAGGTTGCGGTGAGCCAAGATTGCGCCATTGCACTCCAGCCTGGGTAACAAGAGCGAAACTCTGTCTCAAAAAAAAAAAAAAGAAATATATCTTGGCCGGGCGTGGTGGCTCATGCCTGTAATCCCAGCACTTTGGGAGGCTGAGGCAGGTGGATCACCTGAGGTCAGGAATTTGAGGCCAGCTTGGCTGACATGGCAAAACTCCATCTCTACTAAAAATACAAAAATTAGCCATGTGTGGTGGCAGGTGCTTGTAGTCTCAGCTACTCAGGAGGCTGAGGCAGGATAATTGCTTAAACCTGGACACTGAGGTTGCAGTGAGCAGAGATCGTGCCACTGTACTCTAGCCTGAGTGACAAAGCGAGACTCTGCCTCAAAAAAAAAAAAAAAAAAAAAAAAAGAAATGTAACTTTAAGAGAGCATCAACTTTATTTATTTATTTATTTTATTTTATTTTATTTTATTTTATTTTATTTTATTTTATTTTGAGATGGAGTTTTGCTCTTGTTACCCAGGCTGGAGTGCAATGGCGCGATCTTGGCTCACCACAACCTCCACCTCCTGGGTTCAGGCAATTCTCCTGCCTCAGCCTCCTGAGTAGCTGGGATTACAGGCACGCACCACCATGCCCAGCAAATTTTTTGTATTTTTAGTAGAGACGGGGTTTCACCATGTTGACCAGGATGGTCTCGATCTCTTGACCTCGTGATCCACCCACCTCGGTCTCCTCAAGTGCTGGGATTACAGGTGTGAGCCACCACGCACGGCGCATCAACTTTATTTAAAGGAAAAGCCAAGAGAATTAGTTGGATCTGGAATGCTTTTGTATTCTGTGATATGATGAAAAATATTTTTCCCTATCCTGAAAGAAAAGCTGGACTAAGACTTAGAAAGCTATATAAATAACTTTTTGCTGTTTAATCATATCTCACTATGAGCTCTATCATGAATGATGGAGTCTCTTGTGTTTTTCTGCCATTCAATATGTAAACAAGGTAGGGCTCTTATCTGATTGATTCCTAGATAGTCTTTCTCCATCTGAAATGGAAACCACTCTTGGTGTGGGTGTCAAGGTTTGTGAAGCATGTTTTAAACAATTATGGAAGTCACCAACCATGGCTAACAAAGGAGATAGATCCTCATTTGTCCTTTAAGTTAATCATTTCAGATGTAACTGAACTTCATCTCATTTTCTTCTTTCTTCTTTCATATGCACTACAAAACTCAATACAACTTCCCTTCATTTGGCATAGCTGTTTAAAATTTGCTGTATCCGCAGTATAGCTGTTCACAAGGTGCAGACAAGCACCTGACAATTCCTCTCCACCCAAGGCACATCATGAAGCATTGTTTCTTCCACAGCTTCAAGTAAGGGAGGAGCAGTAGGGATGGGAGATTTGAGACACCATAAAAGAGGCTTGGTAACTGATTCAATGCAGAGGGGAGGGGTGAGAGAGAGTGTAAGGGAGACCAAAGAATCCAGTGACTTTGGGGTTTCTTTTTCATATATGAGTGACTGAGAATGCTGGTATCTGAATTAGGGAAGAAAGGGGAAATAAACAAAAACTGTAAAAGATTTGAAAGGAAAGGTATTTATCTTCATTTCACCATTGTATTTGTTTTGAAAAGTTTGCACAGCTGCAATATCTCTTAGTGTATGTTTGTAAAGGAACTCAAGTTTGGGGCAATGTGGTTTTTTTTTTTTTTTCCGAGACAGAGTTTGGCTCTTGTTACCCAGGCTGGAGTGCAATGGCGCGATCTCGGCTCACCGCAACCTCCGCCTCCTGGGTTCAGGCAATTCTCCTGCCTCAGCCTCCTGAGTAGCTGGGATTACAGGCACGCGCCACCATGCCCAGCTAATTTTTTTGTATTTTTTGTAGAGACGGGGTTTCACCATGTTGACCAGGATGGTCTCGATCTCCTGACCTCGTGATCCACCCGCCTCGGCCTCCCAAAGTGCTGGGATTACAGGCTTGAGCCACCGCGCCCGGCCTCAGTGTGGTTTTTTGATACAAAAGGAATTGTCAGGGTAATAAATTTAAAGGGAGTAGGGAGCCTTTTTTTTTTTTTTTTTGAGACAGAGTCTTGCTCTGTTGCCCAGGCTGGTGTGCAGTGGCACAATCTCGGATCACTGCATCCTTTGCCTCCTGGGTTCAAGCAATTCTCGTGCCTCGGCCTCCCAAGTAGCTGGGTTTACAGGCACGTGCCACCATGTCTGGCTAATTTTTGTATTTTTAGTAGTGACAGCGTTTCACCATGCTGGCCAGGCTCTCAAACTCCTGACCTCAGGTGACCCACCCACCTCGGCCTCCCAAAGTACTGGGATTACAGGTGTGAGCCACTGTGCCTGGCCAGAAGCCATTATTTTTCATGGAGAACACCAAGTTATACTCAGAAGTAATGAAAAGTTAATCAAGAGAAATTCTTCTGTTGGTCTCTGAAATGCAAGAGGAGGGATAACCCTTACAATCTATAGTGCCTGTGATAGAGAAGCTTTTAAAAAAGGAAGCAAGGACTTCTCTTAACGTGGTGAATTTGGCCCTCCCTGGTGTCAAACTTCCAGGAAGCCGGACCCTTCCTGCTCAAATGATGTGGTTTCCTATCGTACATATAAATAGTTCTTGCCCCACGAACAGAGTTAAGAATAGAAGCCAAGGAACCACACATACAAACACACACATGGCAGAGCACAGCTGTCAATGTGGCCAACAGAAGAGTGGCATTAGCAAAAAAAATATTCTGGGAGAAGGTGGGGCAAGGTAGCCACAGAAGCCGCAGGGTTGGGGTGGAGTTCAGGAGAAGCAATCAAGCACAGTGCAGACTTCACAGGGCAGACAGCAGCAGGCAAACTGCCCGGAAGAAAAAAGAGAGGGGTGGCAGACCCATGAAATGGGTGGGTAAGAGGAGAGCCGGCAGAACGAGTGAGGACATGTATAAGGATATGCAGGGAAGGTAGCAAAGATCTTAGGTCATACAGACTGCACCGCAAGCCAAGTATCTCTACGTTTTTAAGGAAGGTGGGAGAAAATCAAAGCATAATAGAATCAGGTCTAAGTGTCTTCTGCCTTCACACAGGGATGAATCAGCCAGAATAGAGGGGCCAGGACTCCCAGCTCCATCCTTGGGACAAATTCAACTTTTAGAAAGCAATCCTCAATTCTGGGCCTATCTCACCTCTTAGAGTTAAATTCCTGTTGAAATAATTCATACTGTGTGTATTAAAATATAAAATAAAGTCTTCCCCAGTGGATTTTAGGCCAGGCAACATAGTTTCATAGGCTATTGCCTGATCTTCTAATAATTTTCTCAAAAATATCTAACAGCAGACGTTTATAATCTCCAATGATCTTTTCTGTGTGTAACCTTGTTAAGGAAATACTAATTATTAAACATAAAGAATCATTTAAAGTTACTGATATTCTCCAGACAATTAAATCACCTACTGTCCCTTAAGCAAACTATCTAATAATCTGAGCTTAATTATTAACAGTTTATTTTCTGAATCCCTTGAACCTCAAATAAGGATTTTTCTTTATTTTGTTATAACCATTCACTGCTGACAGCCATAGTCAAAGCTCTAAAAACTAAGCACTAGTAGCCTCCGTGATTACCAGAGGCAGCGTGATGTACCATCCAAGAGACAAGGACTGGAGTGAGTGCTGGAGCTGGGCTGCGTGTGCCCAAATTCCTGCTCCACTGCTTCCTACCTTTGGGGAAATTGCCTATACTCTCCATGACTTAACGTTCTCGTCTGTAAAATGGGGATGACCATAACAGACCTACTTCCAAGGACTGCTGTGAAGATCAAGTGAGCCGAGGATTGAACTTCAGTGAGTACTTGTTAGTGAATACATAATGCGTTTAGAACAGTGACTGGTGAATAGTAAGTACTATATGCTTTAACTGTTATTTCCATTATCTTCTGGTGGCTCCTCATGGTAATTTGAGTTGCTGTGTTAAGGGTTTGTGAAGCTTATAAATATGCTCAGCTTATATAAGCTTCTTTATAAATAAGCTTATAAATAAGACTGAAAAGTCACATAGCAATGATATTATATTTTGATTTTTAATATCTACTTAATCTTAGTTTAATAAATCTATCCCTTTATATTTGCCAGAGTTGAAAATATGTCAATGAGGTTGGAAGAAATCAATGAAAGAGAAACTTTTATGAAAACTTCCCTGCAGACTGTTGACCTTCGACTTGCTCAGCTAGAAGAATTATCTAACAGAATGGTGAACGCTCTTGAAAATCTTGTGGGAATCGACAGGTCTGACCTGATCCAGGCACGGTCCCGGGCTTCTTCTGAATGTGAGGCGACATATCTTCTGCGGCAAAGCAGCATCAATAGCGCTGATGGTTACAGCTTGTATCGATATCATTTTAACGGAGAAGAGTTATTGTTTGAGGATACTTCTCTCTCCATGTCACCAGGGACAGGAGTCAGGAAAAAAACCTGTTCCTTCCGTATAAAGGAAGAGAAGGATGCAAAAACACATTTAGTCCCAGAACGTCAGAACAGCCTTCACCTTTCACCAGGCACCAGCACATCAGCAACCCCAGATGGCAGTCACCTTGCTGTAGATGACTTAAAGAATGCTGAAGAGTCAAAATTAGGTCCAGATACTTGGATCTCAAAGGAAGATGATGAACGACAGGCAGACTCTAAAAAAGAAGAAACTATTGCCCCAAGTTTAAATAAAACAGATGTGATACCTGGCCAGGACAAATCAGATGTTCAAAACACTCAGCTAACAGTGGAAACGACAAATACAGAAGGCACTGTTCCCTATCCCCTGGAAGAAACCAAAATTACACGCTATTACCCTGATGAAACGTTCAATACTTTTAAAACAATGAAGTCCAGAAGTGTCATGTATTCCCGGGGAAGAAAGCTGGTCAGTGGGGTTAAACAGGATGTAGAGTACAGCTCAATCATGGACCAGCAATGGACGACGGAATGGAAATGCCAAGTTCAGAAGATCACACGCTCTCATAGCACAGATATTCCTTACATTGTGTCAGAAGCTGCAGTGCAAGCTGAGCATAAACAGCAGTGTGCAGATATGGAAGGTGAACACTGTGTCGCTGAAGCAATTCCTCGAATCCCTCGCTTATCCCTAACCATTACTGACAGAAATGGGATAGAAAACTTACTGTCTGTGAAACCAGATCAAACTTTGGGATTCCCATCTCTCAGGTCAAAAAGTTTACATGGACATCCTAGGAATGCAAAATCCATTCAGGGAAAGTTAGACAGATCTGGACATGCCAGTAGCGTAAGTAGCTTAGTAATTGTGTCTGGAATTACAGCGGAAGAAGAAAAGGTTAAGAAAGAGAAAGCTTCCACAGAAACTGAATGCTAGTCTGTTTTGTTTCTTTGTTTTCAACAGTCAGAGCCACTAATGGGTGTCATCTGGGCCATCTAAACATCATCAGTTTCTGAAAACATTTTCCTTAAAAATTTTTGGAAATTCAGACTTGATTTAAAATGTAATGCTCTAAAAGTAGTATTTTGTTAGCATATGTTAGTAGGCTTAGTTTTCTCAGTTGTTGTAGTATCAAATGAAAGTGACAATACTATAATGAAGATAAATTGGCTAATCAGTATACAAGATTATACAATCTCTTTATTACTGAGGGCCACCAGATAGCCTAGGAAGCACCCGTGAGCACTGAAGTCACCATTAGGTCACATAAGAAATAAGCAACTGGCTGGGCATAGTGGCTCATGCCTATAATCCTAGCACTTTGGGAGACCAAGACAGAAAGATGACTTGAGTCTAGGAGTTTCAGACCAGCCTGGGAAACATATGATACTACCTCTCTATTTAAAAAAAAAAAAAAAAAGAAGATGAAGAAGAGGAAGAAGTAAGCACTTACGTAGAAAGAAAAGCTAAAGAGAACGCAAGCATGGAAAACGGGAGGGGTAGAAAGAAGAAAAATGATGAGATGCGAGAAGTGAGACGGAGCCATAAATATGTTTTTATGGGGTCTTTTTTCCATTTTTTTTCTGTTTTAATGATTTAAATTACACAATGGGAAAAAAGTATACAATTATATCAAACATCATACTCTAATAATTTAGGGTGATCTAGAGTTTTGTGCAAAAATAAAGTATCCAACATGCGTTTTTTTGTTGTCACAGAGTCCTTAATAGGAAATACAAATTAATTGTACTTGTCTACACAATGCTTTGGACAAAGCTGTAGCTAAAATCTAAAGGATGTATATTCACAAACCACAGAGACTACTCTTAGTTGAGAACACCACGTGCTGTGCTTCAACTCGAAGTTCAAACAAATATCCACAAGAGTAATAGAACCCCTATACAAGGGTTCCAAGAGGGGCCACTGTAGGCCGGGCACAGTGGCTCACACCTGTAATCCCAGCACTTTTGGAGGCCAAGGTGGGAGGACCACCTGAGGTCAGGAGTTCAAGACCAACCTGGCCAACATGGAGAAATCATGTCTCTACTAAAAATACAAAAAAATAAGCTGAGCATGGTGGTGGGTGCCTATAATCCCAGCTACTGGGGAGGCTGAGGCAGGAGAATTGCTTGAACCCAGTAGGCAGAGCTTGCAGTGAGCCGAGATCGCGCCACTGGACTCCAGTTTGGGTGACAGAGTGAGACTCCATCTCAAAAAGAAAAAGAGGGGGGCCATTGTCTAGGAACCGTGAAGGCCACACCACCATCACCACTCTTAGCTATACAAAAAGAAGCAGAGGTGGCAGAAAGGGGTCTTCTCTGGCTAGAGCATAGGTTAGAGTTAGACCCTAGCCCCTCACCATCCCACAAGAGAACCTCAGGGTAGTCGGGTCTCAGAAGGTCTCTGGTGCACAGAGAGGGCCAACCTCCTGCCAGGAGTTACTGGCAGCTGATACTTCACGAAGCAAAATGCCTCATACCGAGAAAGGACCACTGGGTAGAGTAACCAGTAATTGGTGGTGGTAGGGTTGGGAGACACGTCAGACAGAAATGGGTGATGATCACGAAAAATGAAACTGCCATCCCCATTCTCATCTGAGGTGCAGACTCTTAACACTGTCAGAAACTTGCAAAGGAGGAGAGAAAGAGACAGAGAGACAGAAACGTACAGAGGGAGACCCAGAAACAGAGAGAGGAAGATTGTAGCCTGTTCTACAATAGAGGCTCATTGCAGTTATGCTAAAGGTAAGTGATAAGACATGACAATAACCAAAATGTGATTTTGCATCTTTTTCCTCAAAATGCAACTGAGATTGTTAATAGTCAGATTAGAACTCTTGAACTGAGCTGAATTTATCAAAAAAGACTGATATACCATTGCCTGGGTTGAGGGGAAGGGCTTTAAAATTTGAAAAGTGATAACATTTATTTAACATAAACTATTACTTATTTGCATATTGCTACATTGAGACTAATTTAATCTATCCTGCCACATGTGTTTGTTTGACTCAATACTTAACCCATTACATTTTATCTCCTAATTCTTTCCTTTGAGTGTCAAAAAAACCTTCAGCCTTTTGCCATATCCTAGAAAAGAGCTATCTCAGAATAAGCTGGGGAATCTATAACACCTCAGCAGAGCTGGTCTGCGGAAGATAAAGCCTATCTTTGGAATTCTCCCTGTATCTGTTCATTACACAGTCTCCCTTTACCAAGGTCCGTCCCACCATGCCTAAGGTGTGGCATTTCCTTAATTCTCATTTTCTTAAGTCTCACTAAGATCTGTGATACCTGCCTCCTGCCCAGGTGTCGGCTGAAAGGGACTTTTGATGTAGGATTTTTTAAAGGATATTTGTCTTATGAATCCAGATAGATCAATTCTAATGGTGTGATTTCAGAACTTGTGACTGGGCCAACTATTCTTGAGACCTTTCTTGTATACCTTAAATCGTACCATATAGTTGACTAGTACTTTACCAATACAGTACAACTCAAATATTGACAGTCTTCCATGTGGGGTACTGTGCCAGACTGCTTGGTACTACATTGTTAACTATTACATTATTATTCCCAATGCCATTACAATTTTGTCTAAATATGGACCACCAATACTGGGAACTAATATCCAATCTAATCAAATCTAGCAGTATCTAATACATTAAGAATACTGCCTATGTTCAAATCACTTAAAATGTAGAACTGTCTTAATAAATGAGTAAGAATTATATTTATGTGCTATGTAAAACATGGTAACATAAGAAGAAGGCTTTTTATTCTTTTATCCCCAAAACTCTGGCACACTCACAAATGAGCTATAATATTATATTTGGTATAAAGTACGCTTGTTTTGAATTTTGGTCAATGGAAGCTAAGACTTGAACTATCAAAGGACCTCATGATCTGTGGCTATCTGCTTTAAGATCGTATGGCTGCTTACATTCTGAATACATACGTATGTTGCATCATCATGAAGTCCTTATAGCCTCCCATAGTTTAGCTTTCAAAATCTAAAACTCACACTGTTAATGTTGTCATGTAGTTATTCTATACCAAAAATGCATTTTTGCTAAATATATATTAAAAATAAAGAGAAATGAAATCATCTTATTACCTCCTACACAAAAAAAAAGACTTTTAAAGGTTTTATCCTAAGATAAAAATGCAGAAAATCACTCGATACTAACTGACTGACTTAATTATTGTAAGCTCAATATCCTTGTAACCACCACTCAGATTAATGGAATTTGCCAGCTGCCCCAAAAGTCTCAGAAGTCCCTAACTCAACCACCTCTGTTCCATGAAAAGTAACTGTCTTTTTGTAGTAATCCTTTCCTTGCTGTTCCAATTATTATCACTCTATTATTAATACAAGTGACTCCAAAACTGGGTGGCTTAAAATACCCATTTGATTACGCGCGTGGATTCTGTGGGTCAGGAATTCAGACAGCAAGAATGCCCCTGATTTGCAGTGTTTGCTGATTTCCATGTGTGAATTCTCCTGCCATAGCCAATTTTAATTTCAATATGGCATCACTGAATATGGAGTTAGGAAGACATACTAATAATCGGTTCTTGCAAGCCAGTACAGGCTGGCTATCACACACTACTGTCTACTCCATGATATTTGGGGCCTCAGCTGGGAAGACTCAGTATCTAGAGGTGACTCAACAGCTGGAGGCTGGGATTATCTAGAAATGTCTTTATTCACATGTCTGAAAATGGATAATGGCTCTCAACTGAGATCTCAGTCTCAGTGTAGAGCGCATACACATGGCCTCTCCAAACAGCCTGGGCTTCCTCACAGCATGGCAGCCTCATAGAGATTGGATTTCCCACATGATGGTTTGGGGCTCCAAAAGCGAGTGTCCCACTGAGGAAGAAGGAAATACAGTTTTTTTATGCCCAAGCTTCAGAAGTCCTGTAGAGTCACTTCTACTGCATTCTATTGATGAGTGACTAAGGCCAGCTCAGATTCGAGCGTAGGGGTCACATAGAGGGGAATGCTTAAAACATTTGCAAACACGTTTTAAAATCACCATACTTGCATTTCATTACAGTTGTATTGCCTGAATGTTCCTTAGCACTGTAGTTAGTCTCACACTTCTTTTTCATTTGAAGGTCTTTTAAATATCTTTTAATCTGGTATTACCTTTCTCTTTCCCTTCCTTACAATTTCTTTGTTGAGAACATGGGCCACTTGTCTTACAAAGTTTCCCACAGTTTAAACTTTACTTATTGAATACTCAGGCATTTTGACATATTCTGCTGTTGATGCAGGAGGAATCAGAGATTTATTCAGGCTTAGGTCTGATCCCTTTGGCAAGGCTACAAAGATGGTGTTGCTTCTTTTACTAGGAGGCACATGTGTCTACTTGTGTTTCTTTTTGTGATGTCAGCAGCTGTTGATACTCAATGCCTAGATCCTTTAATGTATAGGAGGTTGAAAATTATAATACTCAAACGCTGTTATTTATAAAGAGATTATTCTTTTCATCTACTAGTTGATTACACAGTGGTATAGTTCATACTACACAGCAGAAATAAAGACTGATTGATTTTTCCCATTTATTTACCAGTCTTAAAAACAATGAATTGCTTCTCTACTGTCCTCCAAAGGATGAAAGTGGTCTGCACACCAGGCAGAGTCCTCACCAGAACTCTTAACCTTGCTGGTATCTTGGTCTTATAATTCCCAGCCTCTGGAACTGTGAGAAAGAAATTTCTGTTCTTCAAGCCACCAGTCTGTGTACTTTGCTACAGCAGCCTGAGCACACTAATACAACTAGACACCTGGAAAATGTCATAACAGTTCAGTCAATAACAAATCCGGAAATCAGTTTTTCCAGGTGACTGATGGTTTAGTTTATTTAAACACCATTATGACCTCATGAATTTAAATATGTGTAAATGGCATGATCTCAGCTCACTGCAGCCTCCACCTCTCAGGTTCAAGTGATTCTCCTGTCTTAACCTCCCAAGTAGTTGGGATTACAGGCATGCGCCACCATGTCTGGCTAATTTTTGTATTTTTAGTAGAGATGGGGTTTCACCATGTTGGCCAAGGTGGTCTCGAACTCCCAACCTCTGGTGATCCACCCACCTCACCTCCCAAAGTGCTGGGATTACAGGCTTAAGCCACTGCTCTCGGCCATAATTATTATTCTCTCTCACATTTTCTTTCCTTGAGTACCTTGAATACGTTACTCCATTTTCTTCTGGCATAAAGCATTGCTGCCAAAACGTCTTGATAATAATCTAATTTTCTTTCACCTGAAAGTCACTTGCTTTTTTTTGTCTAGATAGCCAAAGAAATGTTCATTATTGTTTATTTAAGGCTCAGTAGATTTAGAACAATGTGTCTTAGTGCTGGTAAGCCCAGATCAATGTTCTCAGGTGCAGTGTGTTCTTTCAATATGTAGTTTCAAATATTTTCTTTTCATTTCAAGTAAGTTTCCTTAAACTATAATTTGAACTATTTGTTCTGTTTCCTTGTGTCCTCCCTCCTTCCCCCCACCCCGACTCCTATTATCTATTCGTTAGTTCTCTTTGCCTATCTTCAATATCTAGACTTTCTTTCTAATCTGTTCAACTTCTTTCATTGATTTTTGATTTTTAGCATTTTTCTCATTTTCATCTTCTATTTTTTTTAAAGAATAATCAATTGTGTTTATTCATCCTTGGGTTTCTTTTAGCTTATTCTT